ATCTAATTCCTTAAATCTGTTCTTCACTTCCACTGTGTATTCATAAGGGATTTGGTTTAGATTATACCTGACTAGCCCAGTGGTTTTTCCTAATTTCTTCAGTTTAAGCTTGAGTTTTGCTATGAGAAGCTGATGATCAGAGCCACAATCAGCTCCAGGTCTTGTTTTTGCTGACTGTATAGAGCTTCTCCATCTTTGGCTGCAGAGAACATAATCAATCTGATTTCAGTACTGCCCATCTGGTGATGTCCATGTGTAGAGTCACCTCTTGTGTTGTTGGAAAAGGGTGTTTGTGATAACCAGCTTGTTCTCTTGACAAAACTCTATTAGCCTTTGCCCTGCTTTATTTTGAACTCCAAGGCTAAACTTCCCTGTTGTTCCTTTTATCTCTTGACTCACTATTTTAGCATTCCAGTCCCCTAGAATGACAAGAACATCTTTCTTTGGTGTCAGTTCTACAATGTGTTGTAAGTCTTCATAGCATTGGCCAATTTCAGCCTCTTCAGCATCAGTGGTTGGTGCATAAACTTGGATTACTGTGACGTTGAAAGGTCTGCCTTGGATTCATATTGAAATCATTCTATCATTTTGAGATTGTATCCCAGTACAGCTTTTCCCACTCTTTTGTTGACTATGAGGGCTACTCCGTTTCTTCTATGGGATTCTTGCCCACAATAGTAGATATGATAATTGTCTGAATTGCTCATCCCGTTCATTTTAGTTCACTGATGCCCAGGATGTCAATGTTTATTCTTGCCATCTCCTGTTTGACTACATCCAACTTACCAAGGTTCATAGATGTTACATTCCAGGTTCCTATGCAGTATTTTTCTTTGCACCATCAGACTTTCCTTTCACTTCCAGGTGTGTCTGCAGCTGGGTGTCCTTTCGGCTTTTGCCCAACCACTTCATTAGCTCTGGAGCTACTTGTTCGTGTCCTCCATTCTTCTTCAGTGGCATGTTGGACGCCTTCCGATTTGAGGGGCTCATCTTCCAGCGTCATACCTTTTAGCCTTTTGTTTCTGTCCATGGAGTTTTCTTGGCAAAGATACTGGAGTGGCTTGCCAGTTCCTGCTCCAGATAGATTGCGTTTAGTCAGAACTCCCCACTATGACCTGTCCGTCTTGGGTGTCCCTGCACGGCATAGCCCATAGCTTTTCTGAATTACTCAAGCCCCTTCGCCATGACAAGGCAGCAATCCATGAAGGGCTCATTAATTAGCAGCAATTCACTACTGCAATTTACACACTTACATTTTCCTGTGCATAAATCCCCCAACAGGGGATTATTCTGGCCATAAAAACAGTTTAAGAAGAGACTCCATCAAGGTGGTGCGAAATCAAGGTTGCTACCTCTGGAGATTTTGGTCACACTAGTTTGTGACCAAATCCTGGGAAGTCAACACATGACAAACATGTTGAAGAGGCTGCTCTCCCTTTGTGTTCAGAGTCTGATTTCAATGCATTTTCATGCCAGTGTTCCCCCTCACTTTTGTCATCACTGTGCACATACCTGCTCTGCTGGCCGGTGGATTTGTTCTTAGAGCCCTCCTCCACCAAGGGAATGACCATCTTCTCAGCCACATCTGTCAGAACTTGAAAAGTGGGCTCCACAATGAAGTCAATGAAGCCTGCAGAGTGGAATGATCATTAGCAACCAAGTCACAAGCTCTTCTTCTCCGAGAAGAATTATGTGTGCGGGATAATGTGCAAAGGACTGGAATTACGATAGAACATAATTTGTCATAGGGAGACAGGACTTGAACTTGGAAATAACACATTAAGATTTAAAATGTTCATGTTCAAATTGTTACGTACAGTTTTTTAATAGCAGTTTGCAAGTAAAGGTTAAATATTAAACATTCTCCTTTAAAAACCATATATTTTAGATACATCAGCTGGCTTGTCCTCCTACTAATTCAAAAGTAACAATTTTAAAATGAACACATTAAATCAAACATATCATTACCAAGCTATGGGCAGAACTAGCGGAGTGCCCCCACTAAAAATCCAGGCAGGCATGGGACCCCTACAATATTCACTCTGTTTTTTTATGCAACTCACCAATCTGAGACTGGGCCACCAGTGTGGATGTACGATCACACAACGGGGAGAAGGGCAATCCCAGTTCAGCCTCTTTGTCTCCCTGTCAGAAGAAAAACAACATCAGGACCAACCTGGAATGAGACATATGTCTCGAACAGACTTTTAAGCCAGAGCTGGTCAGTTTTCAGAGGGTTTCAAAAACAAAAAACAAAAAACCTCCAATTCTCAGAATTTTCCAAGAATTCCCCAAGCAGATTTCTGGGAATTCCATCCTATAAAACCCAAGAAACATTGCTACAGAAAAAAAGAAGACCTAGACAGAGGCCTTGGCTTTGCTCAGATGATTGAAATGAAAGTGTCTACAGGTTATGTGTTTGTCAGCTGAAACTCCCAGAATTCTCCCTGGAGAGTCGCCTCCCCACCCCACAAAACTGTCCAAATGGCAGACCGCTGATAGTTATTCTGACAATTTCCATCCAAATAGTTTTCTTCTTACAAAAATGTGGCATTTTTAAACTTAAAGAAAAGGCCCCTCATAGCCTCTAGTGGGCAAAAATATATTTTAAAAAAATCATAAATATTTCCATTCTTGGGGTTGGGGTTGAGTGTCTAATTCTTGTGGGCAGGACGGGAATGAAATGAACAGCAATTCCTGCTAAAATGTATGGCCTGGGGATCATCAGCTTTTACAGCACTGAAGATCTGGCTACTCTTTAGTCTCTGTCTTAAGTCCGAGGCCTTTCAGTTTGCACTCCTCCCCTCCTTGAAACATCTGTGAAGCAGCCTTTCACAACCTAGCCTCCTCCAGATGACACTTTAAATCCCGCAGCTCCTTAGCCATCCTGGCCAGGCAGTGTGGGGATGACGGTGGTAGCAGTGCAACACCCCTGAAGGACATCTAGTCAGGAAAGGCTGCTCAAAGATCTCCCTTTAAGAAAAGGTTTCCATACTTCCAAGTAGAAGAGAGAGCAAGAAACGGAGGGTATTCCAGACATACCTGTCGGAAGAACTCTTCCATGAGGGCTTTGGTCCACCGGGAGTGCACGGTCCATTGTTTGGTAGGGTGGCTGATGTCAGCAGCATGGAGCAACAAGGAAAGTGCTTTGGACTTGTCGATCCTGAAAAAAGACCACCAGGGAAATAAGGAAAACAGGGTTGGATCCTTCAGCCCCTTCGCCATCTCTCTCTCTCTCTCTCTCTCTCTCACACACACACACACACACAGAGAGAGAGAGAGAGAGAGAGAGAATAGTCATAAAACCCAACCAACATTCACTACACCCACTTCTGGTGTGATACACAAGGCTGCTTTGGTAGGCATCCACAAATCTGCTCACCAAGGGCAAGTGGACCATCCCACTGATGAGCTGGACACTAGATATCACACAGGTTCCTGCTGCGGACATCCCACCCCATGCAGTTCCTGAGCAAGTTATGCAGGGCCGGGGGGAGGGGGACACACAAGACGTTTCTGAGCAGTGTGTGTGTGTGCGTGCGTAAATTCTGCCATGTTCTTGCCAAAACCATGCCAAAACTGTGCACAAATTTCAGTTGGAGAAGCAAAAATGCAGTCTGAAATCCCAATACAAGCAAACATAGATGGGATTCACAAAAGCATAAAAAAAGGAAGAGAAAGGTATTTTTGTCTTTCGCCTCAGTGTCAGCTTGAGCACCGATATGTTCTCCTCCGGGGCCACCTTGTTTCACTGCTCTTCTTTAGCTTTTTGATCCTCCAGCTCCTGCTGCTTCCCCTTTCCCTGCCCTTCTCCCTTCTCCTTTGCCTCCAATGACCTTGGCCACCCTTGAGAGCTGCTCCTTTCTTGATTGCACTCCCTGGGATGGTTCTGCTTATAAGCATCCATGCTGTCAGGCTTTGAGACAGCCGCCTCCTTTCCCCCTCCCCCCCCCCGTGACACTGGCAAGCTAAAACCATCTGGGCCATCACCCCCAACAGAGTTAGAGGGCAGTAGGGCTAAATGAAGCGGAGGACAGTGAAGGCACAGGAGAAAACCCAAAATAGAACTGAGGGGTGCTCAGTTTATTATGGCAGGCTTTTGGCAGTGAAGCAACGATGCTGCAAATGGGGCCTTTTAATCTGGGAGCGATATTTTGAAATCCTTTTTTATTACCATCAATTTGTTTTTGATTGCTTTCACATTTGCAAACAAATCTGACTAAAGTAAAATCTTTTTTAAAAAACCTTAACTATTCCATGGTAGCTTTCCCTTTTTTAAAAAAAGAGAAAGCTACCGTGGAATAGGTAACAATGTCTCAGGGATTGGTTTCCTCTTTTCAAGCAGAACTCATCCAAACTAGCATGCCCTGGTGGGTTCTCCTTGACTTTGAGAATCACAGTTTCTTTCATTGGGGGGGGGGGATAAAAAAGTGAAGTTGAATAAGAAAATGGACGGTCCATCATCACCCCTTGTTTGTTTGTTTGTTTGTTTGTTTGTTTGTTTGTTTGTTTGTTTGTTTTATATCCTGCCTATCT